GCTTCCAACTAATGCAACAATCAATGCTCAAGTCTATTGTCAGCAATAAGAGCGTTTGAACATGACTTTAAAGAAAAAAAGACCTGTTTTAGTGAATCGAAGTAGAGTGGTGTTTCATCAGGACAATGCACGACCCCACACTGCAAAAATCAGTAATGGGGAAAAGGCCCAACCACAACCGAAAATGGAACTTCATGCGAGGAAGGTTCTTCTCTCTATCTGGTGGGATTGCAAAGGAATTATTCACTTTGAGTTGCTTCCAACTAATGCGAAAATTAATGCTCAAGTCTATTGTCAGCAATAAGAGCGTTTGAACGCGACTTTAAAGAAAAAAGACCTGTTTTAGTGAATCGAAGAGGAGTGGTGTTTCATCAAGACAATGCACGACCCCACACTGCAAAAATCACGTCCTAGAAGATTGAAGAACTTGGTTGGGAGAAAAGTCCTCATCCACCTTATTCTCCCAACCTTGCTCCTTCAGACTATCATTTGTTCCGTAGTTTACAGAATCATTTGGATGGATTAACTCACACAAGCCATAAGGAGGTCGAAACTGACATTTCAGAGTTCTTCTCTTCGAAACCAAAAGAGTTTTTTAGTAGTGGGATTAAAAAGCTTGTAAGTAGATGGAAAGAAGTCATAGATAATCATGGAAACTATATTGATGATTAAATTTCAATAAAAAATCATTCGTTTTCTTTATTTAAAATCCAAACAGAACTTATGTTTCTAAGATTACTAAACTTTTCTTTTGTCAGATATCATTCCAAGTCAAAATCACATAATGTCATAGTGTTTAGCTTTTTGTCAAGTTAAAACTAAAACAAATGTGACAGGTTAATAGCTAAACATAGTTATGGATGTTGAAAATGTAAGATTCTTGTTGTTGTTTTTTAAGCATAATGTTTAAGCATAAAAGGAATTAAATAATTACTTATTAATGATAATAGCAGCTAATTCTACTAAAATTTATATGTGAAGGGTTGTTTTTTAAGCACAAATCTACACAATGAGCTATCTATGCTGTGCCCACCACAAGTATTGAAACCCAGTTTTTAGCATTATAAGCCTTCAGACTTACTGCTGAGCCACTGGAGGGACATGTGAAGGAAGAAATTGGATCATGATTATGTATACAGAACATGTAAAACATAAAAAATTTAAGGCTGAGCCTATAATCTGCCAAAGAATTGGATTCACAACTTTATGTATGACGTTTTTGACAAAATGCTTAATCTCTATAAATCTTCAATGAAAACCAGCAATTTCAAAAGTCATTATTTGCAGAAAATAAAAGGATTGGTGAGTTCCAGTGAACCAACTCCCAGTCTTGTAAAAATATCAAGTATGATACAAACCTAAAGAGTGATCATCAGAATCCATGTTAATGCCTGCTTTATTGGCAATCTCCTCTTGAGCCATCTCATAGGTAACTTCTGGATAAGTCTCTTTACTTTTTTTGGCCTGCTCAGGATTGTTGTATACATATAACTGTGTTGTGCCAAACATTAACCTGAAAAAAGCATTTAGGTTCATATGTCATCTAGCCTTTCAAAGAGTAACATACAATCATTATGAATTAGATGTACATTAGAATTAGGTATTGACATCTAACAACTTATAATACTTAAACAAACTCAAAATAGTAAAATGTACAAAACATAATGCACAATCCTAAGTACAGGTATATATGAAAACAAAATAGGTATTACCTATAAGAAATGAGTTTTGTATTAGATAAATTAATTTAGATAAAAACTACAAATTTAAGATATATCAGCTCTTACCAGCTATGTCAACCAATGGTAAGGAATGTAAGGTGTGAAAATGTTTAGCGAATGAAATGTGCTGCAAAATAATTACATGTTATCAGCATATTTAAACTAGGCTCTTCATCAGTTTCATGCAAATATTTATTAAAAACTAATATATATATATATATATATAGAGAGAGAGAGAGATATTTGAAAAGAAACAGCACATTAGTTAGTAAAGTATAAGACTTCAGTATCTCTTATCAATGCTATTGTAAATCTTATGGAAAAAGAATTGTATGGCAAGAGAAAATCAGGGTACAAGAACAAGATGATCTGTAATTTATGCATATGATGTTTTCCCTTTTATAAAAATAGAAAACATAAAAAACATCATATATGCTCACATAACTAGAGTATAGTTTAGAAACCAAAAATATCTCTTTACCTGTCACAGTGTGAGAGTACAACTTCTGAAGTTACAGGATCACCATTCAATAGGATACGGGAATCACTACTGCATCCTTCAATGCTAATCACACCATCATTGTCTCTGGTAATGACTGCATGCATATCATGAATGCTACGAAATTTTGACAAAGGTTAAACCTCAGTTAAATTACTTAAATTTAAAAAATATATCAATCTGAGAACATTCAAATTGTGTTTTATTGACAGATTCAACTGTAAATTATACAACCTTTAAAACAATATGACTACCACACACAAAGTGTTAGTTTATAATAATGATTTTTATGTCAACATTTTATTTCTTTTTTGTAATATCCTATCAGAAAAATATGCAGATAAATTCTTTATTCTATGTTGCATTTTGCATTAAAAGGTGATTATAGATCATCTATAAATTATAGACTAGCAATTTAGGAAGAGATTATGTACACTTGATGAAAGAGCATTGAAAGGCTAAAGAAGCTTCCATTGGACAATATTATGTAATCAAAAATGTTCTGATCAAAACAAATAGTTTCTGAATCAAATTAATGTTACTCAGAATGTATTTGAATAACCATAATTTTTAACTCAAGTTCTAATAAAACCAAAATCAAGCTCAATATTCTCAAAATTTCTTTAATGATAATAAAGAATATACAAATTTCAAGTGGGTGAGAAGTATACAGCTCTATAGGTTGAGAATTAGGCTTACAGCAAAAGTTACAATAAAATAATAATAATTTACACAATGCAAGGAAAGCTTTCAAAATATTTATGATCACTGCAAGGAAGTCTTCCTATACTAAACTTATGAACTAAAGAAAATGCTTTGTTCTGTCATAAACATGTTGGTATTAATTTCGCACAAAGAATATTTCCACATTATAGAACCAGCATAGACATGTACAAGTAGTTAGAGTTGAAGTTGGTTAAAAAAATTCTTCATATCTTTTCAATATTTTCTTTGAAATTTCAAGAGAAATAATGGTTGAGAAACCATAACAATATATCTGTGAAATTCTCTAATAATACCATAATGAACTTTAGCACATTTTTGGATATGAAAAACTGGAACTCAGATATCATGAAACAAACTTTTTTAGAACCAAAAAAAAACGAATTTTATAAATGGTTATTGTAGGGTCAGAAATAGAGAAATATAAGTTAAAGCATGAAGCTATAAGACTGTAATATTCCGAGGATTAACCCAACACAAGTTGCTAGACCTTTGCAATAATAGGAGATTCACAAACGTAGTATGATGAAAGACAGGCATAATAATTTGTTGTAGGTAGAAAGAAACAAGACATGATATAAAATAAAAAATATGAGCACTTTATTTATTGAAAAAGAGTTATTAAAAGCTAGTTGAGAGTCTTGAGAAAAGACTAGTCTGTATTTGGATTGAATTAAAATAAACTGTCTTTATATTAATAGTGTATAAAAGTTAACATTTTCCTTAACTGAAAATGCATTTTCAATAATGCTTACCTCCGCTGACACTTTAGCTATTCCTAGACATTGGCTTTGTCTATCTAAGCATTGGTCGTGCATGCTCCAGTCTTTTATACTCCACTTAAATGCCCTTGGCAATATCAGATTTGCAAATCTCTCTATACACATCAATGTGCCCTCTATCCTGGTACTGTATATAAGCACCTCACTCAGATAATGTAATCACTTTTTCGAGACTTACACCATCCAAGTCAATAACACCACCTCTTAGTGGGGAGAATGTCTGCAGAGGTATGCATTATTGGAAATACATTTGCAGTTTAGGAAACTGTTAACTTCCAAAACATACTTACCTCCACTGACAGTTTAGCTAGAATCCCACATTGAGAAGGTGGAGGGGCCGGTGCAAGCATAATCCACACAGAAAGCATCAGCATAGAACAGGGGTGTACCATGATAAGAGTGGTACCCAAGTGGGGGAACCACACAACATCCAGAACAGGTATGCTCTTCACCCTTTACTTTTTAAAACTTAATACCTGTATCAAGGGTGTAATAGTACATGAGTAATCATTAAAGGCAAGCTGGGTTGGAATTAAGGGGTCTTGGTCTCTATATCCCACATTGGTTGCTAGGGCAATTGGACTGCAGTGTTATATATTGATATGCTTGTGATTGGATCCCAATCTGTAGCTATAGAGTGATGCATTCCGAACCACCAGAATTACGATTAGAAAGGAAGCAACACTGAAGTGGACCAGCTTTCTCTTCCACCTGAAGAAGTCCGAAAGGCAATACCCCAGGCTCAGAATGACGGAACCATGTATGCCTTACACAACCAAAAGAATATTACTCATTCAGTTTGGAATTATGAACATTCATCCTCACTCCCCAACCAATAGAGCAAGGATCATTCCACTTGCCCCTGGAATTATGGAGAGGACGTGGAACTATGTGCTCAACCAAGGACCTAGAATGGGACTACTTTGCATTTGAAATTATAAGGAGATAGTGGACCTCCTTCCATGAACGTTATACTAAACTCACATTGATTAAAATAAATGGCCATGCACACCCCAACCAGACAGCATAGTGTCAAATCTGAACCGGTATTACGAATAGACTCCCATGGAGGCTGGTACTGCTCCTATTGACATCTGGGAAAAAACACCCAGGAACCCAGGTAGGAGGGCCCCCAACTTCGCCTTCTTCTCCAAGAGTGGAGGAACACACTCTAACACTCTGGATGAAAATCTTCTGTCCACCACCCCAGTGAATGGAAACTGGGTGTGATAAAGACTCCCTAGCTCCACTAATACAATTGGGAAGTCCCGATGAACAGTGCTCTGGAAACAGTAAAATAGGTGAACCAAGTTCCCTAAATTTTTAAAAGCAAACCGAACCTAATTTATTCAATCTGATGATCAGCAGGGACAGGCAGAATCCCCTTTAGCTTTACTCATGATAGTCCAGGAGTGACGGTTCATGATAATAGGGTAATATCATCTGGTAAGTGCCTTGATGGTCTTATGGAACACCTCATTCTAACAGAGCCCGTTACAACCAGTAGTAAGAATGGTCAAATTGGTTGCTAGTGTGTAATTGGATTGATAAAAGCACACCTGTCTGGGCAACACTTGCCACAGAGAGGGATACAGTGAATGCAAGATGTAAAGGACCCTAGAAAATAAACAGACAAGATGATAAAAATACACTCTCCTCCTAATAATCTAGCAGAAGTTGTTAAAACGGGCATGGGGGTAGTGGAAAACTCAGAAGAAAACTGCCATATCATGTAAAAAATGGGGGAAGTCCAAATACTGGCCCATAAAATGTCCCCTGTGGATAAATTTGCTGAATCGAACGAGATATAACTCCACAGATTCCTCACCTGTGAAGTCCAGAATATGCAATATGGATATTTGCAAATCCACCTCTAAGGAATTGGGGAAAATCTCGGGAATCCAAAGGATCGCAACAAATACAGTCGAAATTATCACTGCAAAAGGAGGTAGAGTAAGCCACATAACACTTCTAGGCCTGACAGGACAAAACAATCAGCATACAATCGATTGCAGAGGTGAGAAATAGATAGCAAAAGAATTGTGAAGAGAGGTATATCTCCTTCCCTGGTTGCCAGAGACTTGAAAAGGAAGGGCCCATCAGGGTATAGCAGAACCTAAGGGGAGAGATAAAGAGTCCTACAAACATGCCAACAACTCCAACCTATGACATCAGCATGCCAGCAGCAATAATAATAATACCCATCAAGGAAAAGGTGATATGTGAGGCTAAAGGCTTGAATGGTTGTCGAGACATGACATGTAATACTACCTTAATATCCTGGTGAAGTAATTGAAAAGGCTGTTTGGGAAGAATGCTGGATAGAACTGAGTCCAAGATCTTCAAATGTTTATAATAACTAAGAGTATTTGAAAAAGTTGTCTGACCTGAACACTATGAGAACGTGGAGAAATACCTGAGCAACCTCAAACTGGGACATCCACAGACCTGGTGAAGAATGCCAACGTATGGTAAGAAAGGAAACCATTGTGAACCTGGGATAATCAAAGAATGGGTTGAGATAAGAAAGAATGATGATCGTCTGCCAATTTCCTCTTGTCCCAAGCACAACAAAGAAACAGGAATAACATCCCGGAAGAAGGGAATCAACTGTCACTATCACCCTTGTCACCAGTAACTCTGATAGCCATGAAACGAAAATCCACACTCCACTGTTCAGGTGGGGGTGGAAATACAACAGGTTCAGAGAATAATGGAGATGGAGAATTGAATGAAAAGACAAACTTCGATAGCAGAACCTGAAGTACACATGGATCTACAGTGAAGGAATACCAGGTGTCCAGCAATAGTTCTAACCTCACTCTAACTGACCCCTCACACACATCTAGGCAGATACCGACGCCATTGACATCAGTCAGCCCGAATGAAGGGGCCCTGAAACTAATGTCTGAATATGTTCAGCTGCTAGAATCAAAGAAGCTCTATAGGTCAACAACAACAAATAGCAAACAGGTGATGTCAATTCGTGATACAAACGCCTCTGGGATGCCTGCGACATCAAGTGACAACAAAGGGAAGCCACATGTAACACCTAGAGACTACGGCAGGTATGAAAACTCCCTCCACCAAGGTATCTCTACAGAAGGAACAGAAGCACTCAATCTGACCAAGACAGAAGTCAGTAAAAGACCCAATTCGTCCACAAAGTGATGTGGAGACCATTGATTAATAAGCCGTCAACAATTTTAGGGAGAGGGGTAAGAAAATATGATTGGTTCAAAGTGATCACATGAACCATCCTGGAACCCCACATATCCAACAAAAAAATTACTCTGTGGAATCAAAATGTAAGTCCATCAGAAGGTGGAAAGCCAAAATATGCAAATAGACAAATGAGGGTACAAGGTATACCCATCCTGCTACATAATAAAGCAGTAAATCTCCCAGCATGAACCAAGAATATCAGGTGAAGGAGGAAAAACTAAATAGTCCCCAAATTTGACTTATGAGAAGCTGACCTAGAAAAGAAAGGCATCAGAAAACAGAGTCAAAATTTTCTCCAGAATAATCAGGATCAACAAAACACAATTTCAGAAGCCTCAGGAGAAAATATCCCGGGCCAAATGTATATCTCCATCTTCCAATGGATCA